CGAGGTCAGCCCCGGGCTGGGTCTCAGCTGCTCCAGCGAACTGACCTGCACACCCCAGGCATGGGGCAGGGCCCCGCTTTCTTCTCCCCTTTCTGCCCTTTAGATGAGAAAATAACAGCTCTCCTGAAAGGGCCCGCTGGGCAGAACCGTGTCCCACGGTCACCTGAGCTGCGAGGGAAGTCAGGATTTTTAGCTGGTGGGGTTCTGAGGGCATGGAGGGAAGGCCCTGGAAAATGGACAGTGTCCATTAGTGTCTGCCTCTCCAGCAGGGGACCTTTGGGTTCTCTCTCTCCTCTTTCCTGTCACAAAGTGTTGCAACAAATGTCCTTGAGCCTTGTAAACAGGTGTCGGGGTTCAAGAGCAGGAACCCAGAGGTGGCACTGACCCACGCTGAATGGGTGAAGCAAAGGGACTGTGTTTTGTGCTTTTCTCATTTTAATAGGTGCTGTCACTTTCAATGGGTGCCCTCCAAGGTGACTTTCCAACTGTATTTCCTCCATAGTGGGAGAGGGTCTGTCCCCACAGTCTCCCAGCCAGAGTGCTCTCTCAGGTTGGATGGCCCTTCTGTCCTTGGCCATGAAAGGTGGAGCCCACACCGGGGTCTGCCTCCTATTGCCTGTGTGACCTCAGGACGTCACTGCCACAGCTTTCTCATCTGTAGAATGGGGATAATAGATTCCTACTTTCCCAGACAAAGACCTCCTCGTGGGACTGGCACAGACCTGACTCACGCACGCGGGACTCTTGCTATTCACAGACCCCTCCCCAGGCCTCCTTTCCAGCTCAGCCATGGGAGGGGTGGCAGAGCTCATTCCTTTTCAAGCACAAGAAGTACTGTGGCAATCAGCCCAAAGTGGCCTCCACCTGAGGCAGCACAGCTGGACGAAAGCAAGAATATAGATGCCTACAACGTGTGCATCTCCAGGTAAAGAAGGATCACACCACAGAGGTGAACACCAAAGCAGGGCACCAAACAGCTGATCAGGATCTTGCAGAGAAATCTGCACCCCGTGCTCACCACAGCGTTATTCCTGTCAGCCAAATGCAGAAGCAGCCTAGTGTCCACTGATGGATGAGTAAATGGTGTGGCCTGTCCACACTGCAGATACTATTCAGCCTTAAAAAGGAAACAAATCCATCTGCTGTCACCCACAGGAAACCATGCCAAGTGAAGTAACCAGATGAAGGACACATACAGCACGATTCCGTTTATACACAGTTTCTAAAGTAGTCTAGTCAAAGAACCAGAGTAGAGTGGTGATGGCCACCAGGGAAGAGGAGGCAGTGGAGAGCTGCGGTCCAGTGGGCACAGTTTCAGTTGTGCAAGAAGAATGAGTTCCAGGGACCTGAAGTTGGCAGTGCTGGACTGTACATTTCAACGTGTAAGAGTGTAGATTTTAATATCAAGGGTTCTTACCACATTTTTTTAAAAAGGTTCCACGGTCAAAAAGGTTACAGTACAATCCCCCAAATGTTCCTTTCCATTCGTCATCTGTCATCCACCCATCATCCATCCATCATCCTTCAATCTGTCATCCATCATCCATCCATCTATCCATCATCCATCATCTATCATCCATCCATCAAATCCATCAATCACCCATCCATTCATAATCATCCATATACCATCCATCATCCATCCATCCATCCATCATCTCTCCATCTGTCATCCATCCATCCATCACCCGACTATCCATCCATCATCAATCCATCATCCATCAGTCATCCATCATCCATTCATCCACCCATCCATTCATCCATCAATCATACATCCATCATCATACATCCATCATCTATCTATTCACCACCCATCATCTGTCCATTTCCTTATCCATTCATCATCCATCAATCTGTCATCCATCATCCATCCATCCATCTGTCATCAATTATCCATCTGTCCATCCATCTATCCATCATTTATCAATCCATCCCACCATTATCCATCAGTCATCCATCTGTCATCAATCCATCTATCCATCATCCATCAATCCTTTATCCATCCATCATCCTTCCATCTATCCATCATCCTTCCATCTATCCATCATCCTTCCATCTATCCATTCATCATCCATCAATCTGTCATCCATCATCCATCCATCCATCATCCATCCATCCATCCATCCATCCATCATCCATCCACCATCCATCAATCCATCATCCATCCATTCATCCATCTATGCGTCAATCTGTCCATAAATCCATCCATCATCCATCATCAATCCATCCATCCATTCATCATCCATCAATCCATCATCCATGCTTGCATCCATCCATCATCTTTCCATCATCCATTCACCCATCCACCCATCATCCATCTATTCATCTGTCATCCATCTATTCATCTGTCATCCATCCATCCATCCATCATCCAAAAGTGCAGTTATCTGCAGGGAATGACATTAAGAGTTTTGCTGGAGGTTTTCACTCCCTATTTGATATGCTTCTGTCATGTTGTTTGGATTTTTTACAAGGAACATATTTCAATAATCACAATATTTGTTTTTATTTTTTTTTAATGGCAGCATGTTCCACGGTCAACTAAAACACACGTGTGTTTTTTTTCCCATGCACCTGAGCCCTCTTATGTGCCTTAGAACTCAGCTTCCAAGTCACCTTTGCCCTCCTAAAGGGTTCTCCTGTGAGTTGTGACCCCCTTTGAGTCCCTCCCACCTGCTCCCCTCTGGCAGACAAAACAGGCTGGTCTGCAGAGAGGATCAGCAAGGAAGGGTATCAGGAGCCACCCAAAATCTGAATTTCCTTTTCTTTCTTTCATTTCTGGCATCTTTATAAGATATCAGTCCCATAAGGGCAGAAATCTTGTCCCTTTTTTCTCTACTGTGTCCCCAGTGCTGGGCATGTGATAAGTCCTCAATTAATGCTTGTGGGATGAAGGAGGGAGGGATGAGCCTGCGTCGCTTTATTCCCAGATTAACTGTCATTGCTCTGATGTGCTGCACACTGGCCAGGCAGCCCTGATGTCCCTCTCCCACAAGCCACAGAGGACAGTGATCATAGTTCTTATTCTCTTCTGGGAGAGAGAAGCCGATTGGCCCAGCTCAGGGCAGAGGTGATCCTGTCCTCATCCTCTGCAGCTTGGGATAGAGGCTGTGGGGGGCAGGCGTCCAGACACCCCACCTGTGCCCCTCACACCTGTGCCTTTCCACTGCCAGGGGCGCAGAGGGAACCGCACAGAGTGTGCTGGGCCGAGCGAGGGAGCCTGCGCACTGACCACTTAGGATAGAGAGGCGGGCGTGCCGGGCGGCGATGGGCTGTGGAGCCACGGACGACAGCGTCAGAAGCAGTTTGTTCTCCTGCAGGTGACGTTGATCAGACCTCAGTGGTTCATTCATCACAGCTGCTCACCAGTAAATTAGCAAGATTCGCCCTGCAGCCACAGGAGTGGCCTCCCTGGACCAGGAGCCCTGAGCACCACCGTGGGCTGGGCTGGACGCTCATCAAGGCAGCCAGGCTGCCCCTTAGGCTGCAGCTCCAATTAGGAGCCCAATTCACTGTGCCTCCCTCCAGCCCGAGCAGGCGCAGCCTGGCCTGCAAAGCCAGGGAGGGAGGCAGCGTGCAGCCAGGGGAGGCCCCCAGCCCTCACCTCCCAGGGAGTGATCTGCAGGGCCCCCAGCTCGATGGGCCCCACCTGTGGCCCGCATGGTCCCTGCGTCTGGGATGGCACCGGGAGGGACTCACTATATGTCACGACCTCCCAGGAGGCACTACATTTATTCTTATTTACAAATCCCCAGACAGGTGAGTGACTTCCCAAGGCCACAGAGCAGCACACAGGGCTGGGCTGCAGGGCTCCATGCCCAGCTCTTGGCAGGGACACCACCTGCCTCGGCGTGCTGCATCCAGCAGCTCAGCACAGTGGGCACCGCTGAGCCGGGTGGCAGGGGAGGGCAAGGCAAATGGCGGAGTGGGCAACCCAGAGGCCAGGCAGCCGGGAGAGCTAAGGTGGGGAAAGTGACCCTAGGCAGGCCAGTGCTGGCTGCTTCCCTCCTTGCTATCTCCCACAATTCAAAGGGGCAGCTGTGTCACCTGCAGAACAGTCTGTCACAGACCCTCCTGGGGTTCATGGAGGGTGGGAGAACTGGGGCCTGGGCAGGGAGGCCCCAGTGGAGTTTCAGGTGACCCCCAGTGTCAGAGCTGGGCAGGGAGGTGCGGCATGGCTTAGGCTGGCCACAGAAGGCAGGACCTTCCAAGAGAGGGCCCAGCCCTATGGGGCCTGGCTCAACCTGCCAGGGCCCAGGGCAGAAGCAGGGTGGGCCCAGAGGCACGGCTCAGCACAGCAGCTGAGCAGGGGCTGTGCTGGAGGAGCTCTGCACTAGCCCAGGCCAGGAGGGGCTCTGGCCATTGGACCCACAGCCCTGGACTTCCCAGAGCCCCAGGGCTAGAGCACCTTCCAGCCTTGATCAAGTGACCTTAGCAGGTCATCTACACTCTGCGTCCATGGGACAAGCACCTACCTAAAGAGACCATTGTGGTGTGCAGGAGAAACATGGCAGGGCTTGGAAGGGCTGGTCACCCCATCAGCCTAAGGCATTGCTGCCCCCCACATCCCTCCTGGCCCTGCAGAGGGACTCACTTTCTCCCACCCAGAGGGACCTGCAGGAGGCAGTCTGGAGACCAGCTGTCTGTCCAGCCCTGTGCTGCCCCAGATGGCAGCCACTAGCCCCTGAGGTACTTAAACCATGGAGGTTAAACAACATGGCCCCAGCCGCATTTCAGGTGCCCCACAGTGCCCTGTGGCTAGAGGCTGCTGGACTGGACAGGGTGGGGTGAGGGAGCATAGCAGTCACCCCCAGAGTCCCACTTCCCAGGCTGCTTGCTGTGTGCCAGACACCTGCTAGCAGCTGTGCGTCACTGCACTGGGTCCCCAGGGGACACATGGTGTGCGGGGACACTCCCAAGGCCTGGCCCAGGGCTCCCTGCTCTGTGTTCCCAGACTCCCAACAAGGCCACCTTGCAGCCACTGTCCCCCCAGGACACACAAGTCTGTCACCAGCGCTCTTTATTGGCTTGGTGGGGTTTTCCAGGAGGCGGGCGGGGTCCACTGGGCCTGCTCCTTGCTCTGAGCCCATCAGAGCCCTTTCTTGGGCAGGGGATTGATGATCCCGCTCTCGATGTACTCAAAGACGGTGTAGGGGTCCTGGTCCCCGTTGATGGTGGTGGCCCACCTGTAGAAGTGCCCCAGCTCGGCAGAGTTCCTGTAGTACAGATCCACCTTGAACTTGACCCGCTCCTCAGAATCCTTTGGGTGCTGCAAGAGACGAGCCTGGATCTCCATGGTGGGGGGCGGCTTGTACATGAGGTGGTACCTACGAAGGAGAAGGGAACAGGTGACCACAGGCTGGCTGTCCTACACGGACCAGGTTGCTGGGCACTGTCAGCCATCACCACCAGCCCAGCACTCCTGGGCACAAGCTGCATGTACACTCCTGACTGCCTTGAGCTGCTGAGTGACCCAAGATCTGGTGCCCGCTGGGGTCGGAGCAGAGACATCAGCTAGGAGGTGGCTGCGAGGGACCACCCCCAGCCCTCCCCCCTCCCCCACTCTCTTCTTGGCTTTTTCCTCCCAACGATCCTCGTTAAGCCTCTACTTTAAGTCTGCATCACACCTGCTGCTGGGCACCGACCGGACCGACCGTGATCCTGTGTTCATGGGACTCAAGGAGGGGCGTGGCAGGAAGTGCCAGACGGCACTGAGGACTGTCGCCGGAGCCAGGAGGACAGACCAGATCCGTATTCAGAAAAACCCTCTCTGGCACCTCCTTCTCCCCATCCCCACTCCTGTCCCTACCTGAAACATGCCCCTGGTTCCCAGGGAAGAGGAGAGCTGGGGCACCTTTGGACCGTGGGGACTTTCAGGTGCATTTCTGCTGCACTGTGGCAGGGGAGGGTCACAGAAAGCTTTGGCCTGGGCAGGCGGAACTTGCCCGGAGGCCACAGTGCAGTGACTGTGCTTGGTCAGACTGCAGAATGAATGCAGAATCCACTCCCAGCCCTCGGGAGGACTCAAGGATGAGCCGGTTCCCGCGGGAATGCATCTGTACAGCTGCCAGCTCTGGGGGCCTCCTGGCCAAGGCCACTGGTGTGTGACAGGGGACACCTACCCACCCATTTGCAGCCGGTGCAGCCGTTTCACATGCTGGGCACAGCTGCTGACCCAGGACAGAGTGTGTCCTGAGAGCTCTGGACAGTCCTCTCCTGGTTACAAAGAGGGCCACCAGGCATGCTCAGAAGAGCTAGTGGGGACCCCATTTCTAGCCCCCTCAATCATCCCCAAGTGTATCCCTGGGGCAGGTCCTTTAAGGCACTGGTCACAGATAAGAGAGGGCTCCCCAGGTGGGCCTGGCTGCTAGCAGCCCTGGGTGGCCAGCTACCAGGAAGAGGCACAAACCTTTCTCCTGTGACTGGATCCACTCTTCTCAGGGTCAGCCGCTCCATGATAGAATCGAACGGCACGTTCAGGAAAAACACCCTACGGGCACAGAGCATACCTGTCACGACCTGTACTCATGGTGCTGTGACAACCCAGGCCTGGGCCTCCTGAGCCAGCCCCACAGAGAGCAGAGAGCTGCCCCAGGAGCGTTTCAGGTACACTCCCACCCCGCCAGCCCACGGCTGCCAGCCCACGTCCCCTGCCAGCATCACCCGGGGCCAGGCGCCAGGCAGCCAGAGCCACCAGAATTGTTCCAACTGCCCAGGCTGAAGCTTTCTGTGACCCTCCCCTGCCTTGCCCAGTCCTTGCCCAGAGCCACAGTGCAGGCTCTGGGCCCTGCTCTCCCCACGCTGCCCCCACCAGCCCAGGCTTCCCGCAAGGCGCAGGGTGGCGTGGCGTGCCCTCCTCTGGAGCTGCGAGGAGAAGCAGCAACGTGGATGGCACCTGAGGTCATCATGTTAAGTGAGATAAGCCAGACACAGGGGACAAGGACACACAGTCTCACTCGCGAATCTCACAGAAGAACAGAATGGAAGGTGCTCACGGGGCTGGAAGGGCGGGCAGAGGGCGGGTGGCGAGAAGCTCCCTGCACACCAGACGCGGGCAGGGCACAACTGCCCTGTTCCAGCCCAGCAGTCACCACCCGCTGAAACCAGCCAATTCTCAAAATGCCCAGAAGAGTGTGACATTCCCCACACATAAAAGCCATCTGCGTCCGAGGAGAGGGGAAGGCTGGCCACCCTGATGTGAGTGGCCTGCACCCTACACATGCTGACTACCACGGTGTCCCCACAGAGAGGTCTCAGGGAAGCTGCTCCCCAGGCAGCAGCTGCTGGGACGTCCGTGCTCCCTGCCCTTCGCCTTCAGCCAGCGTGAGGGCCCAGGGCCAGCGCCGCGGGCTCAGCGCGCCAGCTCCCAGCAGGACAGGCCGTCACTGTTGGTGCCTGGGTCTGTGTCTGCGGTGCACACTTCCCACTGGGGACAGCATCGGTGACGACCAACACGCTCACACACCCACGGCCTTGAATTCATTCCACTTTCACACAAGCAGCAGAAGCCACCCGGGCAGGGACCTCACCTCCGCTCTCGGACGCTCCGCCCCTCACTGACACCCTCAGAGACCTCCAGACCTGTCAGGTGGCCACACTTTGGGCCCAGACGCCTCTTGGTAAGGCCAGAGCAGTAATGGGCCCCCAGCGGGTGCCCAGGAACACTGCAGGGGAAAAAGTCACACGCGAGGCACACACTCCCCGCGGCCTGCGCTCCGCCTCCTCGTGGTGATTTCCCACCTGGCCACAATCCTGGTGGCTCTCGAGCACAGGGCTGGAGGGACCCTGGACAGGAGATTCCCAGGGGGCTCACAGACTCTCCAGGGCAGCGGCTGGCAGAGGACGCGGGCGCGCCTTGCCTGGCTCAGGAGGGTGGGAGGCAGCCCGCTTGCCTGGCAGTGGGATGGCTGCCTCTGGGTGGGGTTCTGAGCTAGGGAGCCTGCAGGTGCTGCGACCCCCTGGGAATTAGGTAGGACCGTCAACCACATGGGGACTCTCCAAGGGAGACAGGGCTTAGAGAGGCTCCTCGTAGCTGTTCTCAGCCAGAACCTCCTGCCTTAGGGAGGCCTGCAGGAGAGGCCAAGCCGGACTGCTGCTGGGACTGCACGTGGACCATTTCCCCCAGCTGTGGACACACTTTTCCCAGTTTCCTCTGGGGGGACACACTGCCCCTCTCATCTCAAGGCCTCATGGAACTAACCTGCCCAGGGCTGCAGCACTGGACATGAGGGAGGCCTAGAGGTGGCCAGTCTGAGCACCAGCTCCTCCTGGCCACAGGAATTGGCTCAGGATGCAGGCCGATCCACGGAGGGCTGCCCCAGTGCATGCTGGAGAGAAGGGAGCCTCATTTCTGCTGAGGCTGCAAAGCAAATGGCTTTCAAGTCCAGGTTACCCAGAGAGAGCCCTGCTGAGAGAGCAGAGAGATGGGGAGAGACAGTGTGGGGCCCTGGATCAGGACGTGCCTGAAGCCAGCACACCCTCAGCATTTCTCTGACATGAACACGTAAACCTCTTTTCTCAGTTTCAGTTGGTCTGGACTGCGTTTCCTGCAATATGACACCTAACACCTCTCCAAGGCCACTCGCTTTCTGAAAAATATGTGAACTTAAAAAAATATAGACAGGGTGGGGGTTAGGGCTCAGCGGTAGCGCACTCGCCTAGCACGTGTGAGGCCCTGGATTCAATCCTCAGCACCACAAAAAATAAATAAATAAATAAATAATAAAAATATGTATAGACAGAGTCCCAGAGTCAGATGTCCCTTCTCCCTCCAGGCCTTCTTGCCCTTGCTCATTTGCCCCAGCGGCTCTCTGAGGGTCACTGTGCCTGTGGCCAGGAAGCCCTCAGGGCTGTGGTGAGGCTGCAGTGGCCACTCCTGCAGTGAGCACAGCTCGGCGTCGCAGCCAGGCAGGGCCCTGACCAAGAAAGCCCACTTCTTCTCTGCACCAGTCCTGGAACCACCTCCATTCACAAGGTGCCACAGACTAACAGCCAGCAAACACAACGTGGAGCAGCGTGCGGACACGGAGCACAGGTGTCTCAACTGCTGTCATCCTCCCGCTGGCCCCTCATGCCCCAGGACCCAGGGGCCCCAGCCACCCCGAGTCTCAGCTGTCCCTGGGGCTGGCAGTGGGTGGTGCCACTCTAAATGCTGCCATCTGCAGAGAGGACGCCAGTGTGGAGGTCCCTGTCAGTGAAGGCGCTTCACCATCAGACGCGGCTGAAAGCTGTTGGCCTGGCACATCAAGATGGCCTGCCAGGCACGGGGAGGACCTGCGACCCATGGCCAGAGCAGAAGGACCTGGGGCAGGACTTGCACTTGCCTCTGGAAAAGCCCCTGGGAGGCTGCCCTCCGCGTGCCAGCGCCTGATCATCCAGGCTGCGGCCCCAGTGGGCGCCCGGGTGGCAGGGCGCAGGGCCAGGATGCTCTGCTGACGTCTGCCCCGCGCACGGCCCTGCCCCTGTGCCACGTGACACACCAGAAAGGGGAATGGTGAAAGCAGATTCTCAGAGGGGCACGGGGCAGACCGCGGTGAGTGTCGCCGGGGCTTAGCCGCAGCAGGGCGGAGCCGTGCCTGCCTTCCAGCTGGGGCAGCCTGGGCGCAGGGGCAGGGGGCAGTGGAAGGGCCTTGGAGGCCCCTGGTCACACTAAGCCTGAACGGCCTGGGCCTGGGGCTACTAGTCTGCAGCTCTCAAGCCCCAGCGCCCACCCGCTGAACCAGATGATCCCTAGCACATGAAGGTAGGAGAATGGCCACTCCGATCCTGTTCCCGAGCTCTGTCTGATGGTGAGCACATCTAGATGGCTTGTCTAAAATGCAGATCTGGGCACCCACTGCCCCCTGAGCTGTTGAGCCAAAACCTCCAGGGAGGGACGGATTACCCTGTATTATAAATATTTATGATTTATAATATTTATTATAAATATGAAGTATTTATAAATCAACAGCTCAAGTGAGTCTCACAACCAGGCAGCTATGGGGGCCATGGCTCTAACCCAGGGTCTCATCCCTGGCCACACAGGCCACCATTAGGAATCTTTGAGAATACCAAGCCTGGGCCCCAGCCCGTGATTAGTGATTGGTCCAAGGCTGAGTTCTGCAAATGGGGTTGTTTGCGGGGAGGGGTACTAGGGATTGAACCCATGGGTGCTTTACCACTAAGCCACATCCCTAGTCTTTTTTGAGACAGGGTCTCACTAAGTTGCTTAGGGCCTAAGTTGCTGAGGTTGGCCTTGAATTTGTGGTCCTCCTGCCTCAGCCTCCTGGGTCACTGGGATTACAGGTGTGGCCCCACAACTAACTGCAAATGAGGATTTTGAGAGCTCTTCAAGTGATTGTGGTATGTAGCTAGGGCTGGAAACCACCACTCTGATCTAATCTACTGTGTCAAGATGGGGAAACTGAGTCACGGAGAGGAAAGGAGCTCACACGCTATCATCCTGGCACTGTGTCAGACATCAACGACAGGCCCTTGTAAAGCCTCCTCCAGCCACTACCTCAGGCTCAGTGTGGGGAGCAAAGGAATTTCCCTTAAAAGGCCCTGAAACTCCCCTGCTCCAGAGCCAGTCACTGGAGACGGAGGAGGGGATTGGCTGTGCCCCCAGGAGGCTTGGTAAGTTGAGAGTCACGATACGCAATGACTGGCTCTAAGTCTCATGTCCAGTCCTGCCCAGAGACAGGGGCCCGCCTGTTGGCACTTGATCTCAACAGGTGGACCTCCATGGTCGCAGAAATTCTGCAAAGCACAATGGTGCAAAGGTGGTGAGAGAGGACTTCACGTCCACAAGGGAGACAAGGTAGGAAGGCAGGCAGGAAGGGAGGGAAGGAGGGAGGAGGGAGGGAGGGAGGGGGCAGGGACACGTATGGCAAGGGTGAGGAGACTAGAGCTCTCTGGCCCTGGGACAGGAAGGTCAACAGTGCAGCCACTTGGAAAATTACATGGTGGCTTCTCAGAAAAAGAAACACAGAATGACCATCAGATCCAGCCCCCCCACCCCCACTGGATACGGACCCAAATCCCTGGGAGCAGGACATGCACAGGAGGCGCACGCCCCTGCTCACAGCAGCATGGTCCACACAGGCAAAGCGGGAACACTGCCGTCACGGAGAGGTGAGTGGACAAACCACGCGAGCCTTACAAGGCAGTGAGCGCTGACGTGGGTACGCGGAACCCACTGGGGCATTGGGAGCCTGCAGGACCTCGAGCTGGACGGAGTCAGCCCAACTAGGACAGGTGCCGCGTGATGCTGCTTCTGTGAGGTTCACAACAGTCCAAGCCACAGAGACGGCAAGCAGCCTGGGGGTTCTCGGGGGCCGTGGGGGCCGGGAGGTCAGCCTCGGTGAAGAGCGAGGCAAGGGTTCAGGAGATGGTGTGATCCTGGCTGCACAAGAGTGTGACTGTGTTAGTGCTGCTGAGCCACCTGTGAGAGGTGGCTGTGAGCCTTCTGTTGCTTTATCACACACACAAGCACTGCGGAGCAACGGCCGGACCCTATGGTAAAGGCCGCGGTTGGGGAGGGGGTTCCTCTAATCATGAATAAACTTACAAGTTGGCAGGTTCTGAATACAAACAGGTGTACAAGTGAATGAGCGAATCAAAAATAAAATCACACGATAGTACTAATTCTGCAAAAAACGAATGGAATGCTACAGGAACTCTTCCAGAAAACAGAAGAGGACTTCAGTTACTCTAGTTCCCAACTTATTTTATTTGGCAGCCTTTCCCTGATACCAAACGATAAAACTATTAATAATCCTCATGAACACAGATGCAAAATTCTTCAATAAATTTTTAGCAAATTGAATCTAGCAATACATAAAAGAATAATCTTTTAGAACTAAGTGGAATTGAGCCTAGAAATGGAAGACTGATATTAGAAAATCAATTAATACAATTTACTCTAGCATTAGACTTAAGAAAAAAAAGTGTGTCATCATCTCAAAGAATATGGAAAAGGCATTTGAAAAATTTACATCAGTTTCTGATTTTAAAAAAAGTCTTAGCAAACTAGAAAT